TACAGCCCATTCATCAATATTTTACAGTACATATATTGACCCAGCTCTCACATTTGCTGAAATCGATTCTACAGAAATAACAGCATGACCAAATAAAAGTACCTGTACAAGCAAAAAAAACTGGAAATAACCCAAATGCCCATCAATATGTACATAAATAAATTCTAGTACATCCATATATCAGAACACAATGCACCCATTAAAAAAATGCGGTAGCTCTAAATTATTTGACCCAATGTATGATGTTGTTAAACATGAGTTGTAAAAGAAACAGTACTAGTTGGTGTGTGTGTGTTTGTGTGTGTGTGTGTGTTGAGATATGAGTCATTGGCTATCACAATCAACTGTGCTAATACTTGAAAGCCTTCCTTAACATTTCTGCAGCTGCTATGACTGCCACCTGGTGGTCCCATACTGCAAGAAGTTTGTCTAAAGATGATGGAAAGTTGCCATTGATATTATTATAGCTCACTATTTCTGTCGCTTCTGAACAATAAGGTATATTTCCCTCCAGCTCTGATCCCCCTCAACACCCGCTCCAACCCTGCATGGTCGCCTGGTCTACCCAGCAATTGTCAAGAGCAGTACTTCCATACCCTCAGGAAGTATGACAGCTCTGAGGAAGTAAGCAGTGACTTTTGAGTAGGCAACTTGATAATAAGTGTCATAAATATGTATATTATTTCACCCAGCAATTCTACTTCTAGGAATTTGTATAAAAGATATAATCAATCATATTGCAAAAGTATCTACATAAGAGTGGTAGTTAATACCAACAAAAGTAATATAATACTCAGCTATAAGAAATAAGAGTTGATAAATAAATATACAAGATACTCATCCCTCAGTGGGACTTACTTCTCCCTGTTCCTTCCTGCTGAATATACTATAAACACTAGAAATAATAAGCGAGAAAGGTGACATGTGGAAAGAGGAAGGAGGACTAAGGAGAGAGAGACCTCAGGACTGGAGGTACAGGATGGAAGAATATAATTTATGGGGCTCTCCTTCGTGGTGCAACGGGTTAGGACACAGCACTGCAAGCATAACAGCCATTTCAGCATGAGTTCGATTCTCCACCCCAGAGGTGATCCACATGGTGCAGGAGACCTCTCCTGGCCCACCCACTGCTCCCCTCAGCAGTGTACTTTGTAGATCTGCCTGTTCTGCTCTCCACTCCGTGTCTGGTGAATCCTCTCACTGCCCCTGCACCTCTGGCCTGTAGCCCAGTGCTGTATGCATAAATAAATAAATCGTTTAAATTTTTTAAAAGAATATAATTTATGAACTAGTAAAAAGTATTGATTTTATTAAATCTCAAGCCTTTAAGTACAAACTTTGTTATCTAAGTTCAAACTTTGTTATCAAAGTTAAAATGTCCTATCTATGTATATGACATTTGTGGTAGTTTTCTACAGAAAATGTATACTTGTACATTTGAATGAGATATAAGTAAAAGTAGCCTTTTCCCAGAAAGTATATTTACTTCAGTTAACTTCTTGGTATACCGCTATGATACTTTCTTCTTCCTATACCCATTTGGCTGTCTTCTCTGGTGCTTTTTCATATGTGATTTTTCCAATTTTTATGGAAAGAATGAGTTCTACACCATGGTGGGTCAAACTAATTCTTCATCATTTTAAATTTTTTTCACTTAAGAATATAATTTATGGGGTTCTCCTTCGTGGTGCAATGGGTTAGGACACGGCACTGCAAGCGTAACAGCCACTTCAGCATGAGTTTGATCACCCAGAGGTGATCCACATGGTGCAGCAGACCTCTCCTGGCCCGTCCTAATCTTGACATCTTATTATGATAGTTCATCACAATTAATGAACCAATATTAAAGGTCCATACTCATTCAGATTTTCTTCGTTTTCACCCA